AGAATTACGACAATATAAATTATTGCTGGATATTTTCATGTCCAATTTCCAACACAGTTTGGACATGAAAATATCCAGCAATAATTTATATTGTCGTAATTCTGCAAGAATTTCGATAACTTTGGAAATTCGACAGTATTGTCCAAATTCCATTGTTCTTTCGAAATTTGTCGAAATTATAATGGAATTTGGACAATGTCAAAAATCTGGTGCCCAAATTCTAATTGCCCAATTTCCATAGAACCGTAGATAGTACATCGTCCTCTCCAAAATCGAAGTCAAACGAGATCTTTGTTTTCCTAAGTTTAAACGCAGCGTCGGATTTTATTCAAGTCTTTAGAGTGGCATCAGTTGACTTTTGAGAATCTCAAAAATGATTCGATCAGTAGTGACTGACTACTTGAGCCCCATGGCAGTATTTGTTAATAAAGGCGAAAAATCTAGTGTACACTACACCTGCTTTTTGAAAAAACGCAATTCTGTACTAATTTTATCGAATGCTAAACAATTTGTATCTCGATCAAATTCGATTCAAATGAGCTCAATAAATTCAAGATACAAACACGGTAGCACCTTGTAGGTGAAGGAAATAGAAAAGAACAGGGAAATCGAACTAAGTAATAAAATGATTTTTCACGTATCTGACCAAAGATCCTGCCTAATGTAAATGATTTCTACCGATTTTCACATTGCCATCAGGAAGAGCAGCTCAACGCAGTTATATACTAAATGTGTGCTTATCTTTTGAATTGATTTCCATTTTTAGGGTACCCCTTCAGCACTTACAGAGAACTAAAACATCTAGAATCCGTTTTCTGACCTGTGTCCATGGACGTATTCCTTTAGTTTTTCTGAGTGCGTAAACGAAAAAAGGTACTCTAGTTAACGGCACACTTAATTTTAACACAATATCAGTCAATACTTAGCTCATTACTTCTTCACTAAACATTACATGGAAGTGCAAAAGATTACGAATCTTTTGGAAGGCTCTTCCGTTTATAGCATGCGGAAGGGCGAATTATATCTTTTTATAAAGAAGTATGTGAACTAATTTTTTCCTCCCGAAATTATATGCAATGAAGTGGATAAGTCGCTCATACACTATGCTCTAAACCCTCCGTCTGTTTACCTAGAATCCATTTACGTTGACTTTTCCAGTAATCAGCTGTTTCGTTCATTACTTGTAAGATTGGTAATAAATTATCATCAGAATCACTAATAAAATGTAAATTTCCATATGGAATTTGGTGACCACCCCATGTTGACATGATTATATCACTTCGTTTACGATGATGTATCCTACCTGTTATTACCATTACACTTATATCAAATATAGTTGTTCTGTTAGAACCACTTAATTTATCATGTTGTTTTCTGATTAGTACTGAACTAGAAATCCATTTATCGTACAGCTGTTTGTTCCACAACAGATCACCTGGTACGTCGTTTTTATTAATATGTTGAGTATTTGGATCTATCGTCACGAATTCTATTTTATCCGATAATTCTGGCTTTTCTTCAATATTTATTTGTTTCAAGAAATTAATTAGTAAGTAGAAAACAATTAAAACTGTTAAAATATAGAATTTTTGCCTTCGGACCAAAATAAGCACTAAAAAAATGGAGAATTCGTTATGATGGAAGAGTGATTTACAGCTAGATCTAATTCATATGCTTTTGTCACATCTCAATAGTATCACTGAAGTATATTGCATATTCGATACTTGCTTTCAACAATATTCGAAATATAGCACGACAGATTGTGTTTTCTCGTTTAAAAAGAAGAGTATGTAACTCATTCTTTGTTTTCTGCAATTTTCTATTAAAAAGCTCCAGTATTACTTTTTTTCCATTTCTCCAAACCGTTTTCGTAATAGCAATGAACAGTTTCAGAATGCGGTTGCAGACATTGCATTAGCGGCATTTAATATTGGTTCTGTATATGTATTATGAACGACTGAGCATATCAACCAAAGAAAACAACAGTACAGTCACATTGTTCATGTGCCAATTTTTGCTGACACACTTCGCGAGGTTGCATCGTGAACATATCCACCAAAGAGAAATAATACATGTGAGCAGAAGAAGACACATCAACCAAAGGAAATAACCTGTAACTAACGAGGAAACCTCTTAAGATATACTCTCGCTTTTTTAACGAAATCTAGTAGGTTGTAGGTAACCGACCATGCTGATTTCGAATATGATATTCATTTGGGCTCATAGGCCTTTCCTAGCTGGGTTTCTCGAAAACTCGTTTTCCAGAAATCTCGAAATATCCCCAAAACTTTTTCTAAATAAATCATGATTGTAGCCCTTGAAATTCTGATCAAAATGAGACAACTCCTAGCTCTACAGGGCCTTTCTTTGTAAAGCTATAGAGCTTACAAGAAAAGCGGTAAATGTTCATTGTCATCTCGGATCGTTAGTCATAGATCATTTCCTTTGATTGATATGTCTCCTTCTGCTCACACGTATTATTTCTCTTTGATGGATATGCGCACGAAGGAACCTCGCAAAGTGTGTCAGCAAGAGGTGGCACACGAAGAATGTGACTGTACTCAGTACAGTGTACTGGTTACGGATATGATAACTGTAGTTATGTGTCCTTAATTCCTTAACTGATTTACAAAACTTTGAACATTCGGTCAGCGTAGCACGACCAAAACAAACTTAACTACTCTCAACATTTTTCTTCCGTTTTATAGGTTTGATTCGTCGAACGAAACATTAACTCTCATACTTATGCGCTTTAACTACACTCTTATTCGATGAAATAACCGATGAGATAGGATCCGATCACTCACTGTCGCGTGTAAAATTTGAAGCCGTCATTTTTACCTTATATCAATAGCAGAATAAAATCATGTTTAACATACCTATTTTATTGTATTTCTTTCATCAGAAAAAATGGTTTTTGACTTTTCTGTGAATTAGAGAACATTTCTCAGGAGAAAAGAAAAGATCTAGAAGACCATAATTCTACATTTACACATTCTCATAATCTAACAAACGCAAATTTTCTTTATCTTATTACTCTCTCCGACGAGTATGATTTATTGCCAAACGTCATGTTTATAGACAAAATGATCACGTATGCTCGCATTCTATATTGTATAGTTGTTTTAATTGCAATGTCAAGATTGTTTATATTATTGAAGGGTTTAAAACTACCTAAGTTATAACAAGGTGGAAATTAATTATACCTAATTCAACTTTTAGTCAAAAATTTACAATAGTTAAAAATATCAACCACGGTTAATAGTAATAACTCCGTTTGATTGTGTTGATAACGATTTCAACTTTAGTTATTACTATGTCGTAATACAAACTGAAATGAGCTTTCATAATTCTATTTACGATATGATATAGAGCGATTTATCGTAAAATATATCAAAGACTGTACTTGTTTTGATCAGTAATAAAGATTTTCTTGTTTCATTCGTCTTTTGTGTAGTTTTATATTTTTTTGCTGTGACTGACTTATTTTCCTACGATTATCGACCTTTTTCTCTTTTCTACGGAGAGCACAGATGCCATGCACCACTTCAATTTTTGTACTTCTATAAAAATAGTATAGCTTTCTGTCCAAATAAATATTTTATACAAACTAAAGTACTATAAGTGCTGAAAATCATTTAAATATAACGTGCCAACTGTTCCAAATTTGTAAATGATATATAATTACGCGAATCTTCTTCAAGTTTTTGCTATTTAATTTATTCCACACTATAAAAATATATTTTGCTTGAACTGTGAAAAAAAGATAATTTCAACAGTACTTTGTCATAGGTTGTTTTCTTTGGTTGATATGCTCAGTCATCCATAATACATATATATAACCGATACTAAATGCCGTTAACACCATGACTGCAGCCGCATTCTGGATCTTGGTGGAAAATATCGAAAGGAAAAATATCGAAAAGGAAAATGTCGATAAAAAAAAAGCGAAACGTCGAAGAGGAAAATGTAGAAGAACAAAATGCCGAAAAGGCAAATGTCGAAAGCGGATAATGGAAGAAGGAAAGTATCGAAAGGAAAACGCCGAAAAGGAGGAGATTTCTGTAGTAAAGTAAAGTATGATGAAGTTCAGTATGGCTGCTACGATGAACGCCTCACCCTCACC